TCATATCACAAATTTTTTTTTTTTATTTGAATTGAAATATTGTAAATTTTTTAACTGCTCATCCATCACATGGTTCAGTGTATGTTGCATCAAATTTATGTATATATATAATTTATGTATATATAAATGTGCATTTATATATACATATAATAAAATAAAAAACATATATTGCTTTCTACTTGTAATATCTTGTTAATTGACTTTATACTTGAAGTTTGGAATTTCCAATTGTATCATATCTATACATATATATTCGAATGTATCAGAATTTTGGATCACTTAAGCCAAACTTCGATTAATTTAATCGGTGATTAATTGGCAGAATTGTTTACAGAAATTTTCTATTCTAATTAAATAATTCAATATTTATATACTTATATTTTAAGCTAATTCAAATATTATACTAAATGGATTAAGATCCAATAGGCCCAATTCGCTCTTGAAAAAGGATTAAAGTTATGTTTAAAATTTAAATTTTTGAAATGTGGTTAATGTTAAAAATATTAGAAGTATATTGATATACATAATCAACAAAAAGAATTAAAATTTTTGCGATTTTCAATAATTTATTGACTTTAGTAACCATAAAAAAAAATCAGGATTCAAATCTTTGCTAAACAGGATCGAAATTCGAACCTCGGCTAAGTGGGGTTCGAGTCTCCGCTAAGCAAGGTTTGAGTCTTGCCTAAATGGGGTTCGAGGCTTGGCTAAGTGGGGTTCGTGTCTCGGCTAAGTGGAGTTCGAATCTCGGCTAAGCAAAGTTTGAGTTTGCTAAGCAAGATCAAACGATCAGAGTCTCCGCTAACGATAAGTCTTACACTGTCCACGCTACGAATAAAATTATGATCTAAAAGCAAAACCGAGTATCACGAGAAATGATCGTCCGGTATTCGACTATTTTTTAGTTATTATCGAACGTAATATGTTTGTTAATCTATGCAATGAATGATTAATATCTATTATTTGCAATCATATTATATAAAACGATAAAATGTCAAAATAAATTACGAACATTTTTATTTAATATATTTTACATACAATTAAAAATAAAATTAAAAACTAAGTTGTTTCTCACTTGCGTGCGCGTCTATGATAGAAAAATATCATCGATCAGGAAAGAAAAAATGTTCTATCAATGATATCAGATATTATGTACGATGAAGTGCATTTCGCATATTTTATATTTGTCATTATTATAATATTAAATATAAAACCAATGTGCTTTAAATAAATTTTAAAAACTCTTATAAATCTTCTGAAAAAGAAATCGTGTGATATCGTTTAATGACATCCGTGATAACGAAGAAAATATAGTAGGAAACGAGCAGCCGTCATTGAAATTGTATTAAATAAGTCCATTACGTGTGTTAAGTAAGCTTCGCGCGTCATTCTATAAATATTGCATACGACGTGTAAACGGCAATCGATTAACCGAGAGACTGCTTGCAACGCGAGCTTGTCACATACATCGCTGTTCGCGACTCTATCGCTGTAACAATAATCGAGGCACGTAATTCCGAAAATAGCGTCGGCAAGAAGCGCGTTAATAGCTATTTCAAGTCGCGTGTCAAAAGACACTACGATAAACGTTACAATATACATATATATGCATGTATATCGCGAGAAGCTGCCTTCCACCGTCCAGTGCAAAGATATCGAGAGGTGAGTGTTTCGACATATATTCGCGCATTAGTTCGCTTCTATGTATAGACTTTGGTCCTGCGTATCGGAAAACAGACGGTGCGCGGGGTGGGCAGGAATTGCAAGCAGGCTCGCCCGCTCGCCAGGACGCTCTCCCCAGTCCCAGTGTCGCTCCCGACGGTCAAGGGCAGTGGCGTCGCGTGACGTCACGCGACGCTGCAGTGACGCAACTAGTCGCCAAGGGCAACCCGCTCGGTTATGGTCGCTTGGCAACCCCTTTTCGCCCTACTACTCATTGCTGTATTACTCCCTCCCCCTCCCACCCTCATCCCACTTCATATCGCAGCCGCACTCTCTATCGCGTACACGTGCCGTTGCTCAATGAACTCTCTCCCCCCGCTCTCTTTCTCTCTCTCTCTCTCGCTCCTCTCCCGTATGGCGCCATCGTCGCCACTCTTTCATTCTCCATGACGTGACCCTAACCCCTAGCCGGGGTCTTTCGCGGATGCTGCGATGTAGCGGAGTAACGACACGGCGCACCCCAACACGTTACCCTCCCTCGTCGCCTCCTGGGATTTTTCCTTTTTAATAATATCAGCGCTGCTAATTCTGAAAAATATCAACTCGAAATAATAATATCAACATTGAAATAGTAATCAATAAGATATATTTCGAGTTATATATTTTATTATATATTTTGCGTATAGTTTTTGTAATGATGTAACAATTATATCTTTTTTCCTCAAAATTGTGACAAGTGAGCTCATGTGATACTATTACGCTTTATTAATCGACACATAACCGATTGAATTATTTTTCAGACATAAAATTATACACAGTGATAGCTAATATCTATATATATATATAATAAATATACGAATATAATACAAAGCATAAATTTAATACCTGAAAAAAATTTAGATTGTTTTTTCTCCATATAAAATATCTTATTAAACATTTTTTACTTTTACTCGTCCAGAGATGTATGAAGTTGAAAGAAAAAAGAATATAGTTTGTTATTATAATAAAATATCCCACAATTGTTCACATATCATAAGAAATAGAATTCTATATTAATTTGCAAGGAAATATTTTATCGAACGGAGCAAAATAATAGTAGGAACAAAAAAGGCGATATTATGTGTCCCAACTCAGGATAGATATCTATTAAGATAAAAGAGAAAGAGGGATAAGAGAGAAAGACACACATCATATGTTGTAGGAGAGGCAGAGAATGAAAGGTAGGCAAAATAGAAAAAGAAAAAAAAAAAAGAGTCCTCGCGCGGAGGGATTTCTCGCAGTGAGATGGAGAGAAGCAGAAGGTATCGCGAAGTGCAGAGGAGGCCTCATCTCGCTCTCGGTCCTATTTATAGACATGCTCTCAGCTTCACTCGTGCCCACTGCTCGCGCACTGTCTTTCTTATATAGGTAGCTGTATACCTATATATAGTGACTGTATTGCGCGTCTCTCCCTGTCTCTTTCTCTACGCACGAGCTACCGAGACGGCCAAAACCGTGCAAAATATTCGAGAGCTCGATCGCATGGATCCCAAACCGCGAAATTGCTTACCTGTATTACAACAGTCGCAGCGAATGTGCGTGAATATTTCTTTAGGAAGATGTAAGAAAGATTTTATAACATCGATGTGTGTGTTTGTGAAGAAAATACATGTATGCATTTTCATCTCGGCGATGCGATGACGGATCTATAAGAAATGGCCAAAGATTTATTATTTAAAAAAATTAAATTATTGCTAAATTTTTATTAGAAATAAATTTTGACGGTGAAATTATATTCTTACTGGATATTGAATAGAAAACAAGCACGTGTGGTGAATATATAGATGAATATGATATGACTCGTTGAAAATTGCAATGACAAATTTCATTGGATACATAATATAATTTTTTGAAAATCTTAAAATTTTATTGTTAGGTATCGCAACATGTATATATATCGCTAGTTAAAATTCTATTTGCTTAAAACTTTAATCAAAAATTGAAATTTCATTATTTATTTACTATCCAGCAATTCAATCTGTCAAAATCTCTTTTGTTTTAATTGTATCTCATAAGCATAAGTTATATTTATATATTAATATTTGTATTAAGGAAATTCATATTTCATTTTTCATAAAATGATTAGCCAAAAAGAACTTAATTTTTTAAAGGACTCCAAGAAAGAGAGTACATAAAGTTTCATAAGTGATATCTTTATTCAATATTTTTCATATAATTGGATTCAAGTTTCAATTTAAATCAATTAATTAAATATTGCAAATCTTAGGAATTTCTCTAATTTTAAGAAATTAATTTGCCTTAATACTACTGGAATGCTTACGATTATATGTAGACCAATGCTTGGCAAGCTTATATACATTTTATGTTTGTTGTACAAAAGGGATAAAAAAAAAGATACATTTGAAACTTATTGGCGTATTTTTTAACAACAAAACTGATTTTTTTTTTTCGTTTAGTAAATATCGGTATATTGATATCTGAATAAATATATAATCAAAAGTCAAAGATTTTTCATGTGCGAAATTGTATAAAAGTAAATAAAATCTTGTATTCAATATATAATTTCAATAAAATATGTTAAAGAAATATAAAAATTTAATATTTAATTACTAATTAAATTTTCGTCCAGAAAAATAGATTCCAAATGATTCTTTGATTAAAGAATGCATCCTCCATTTTTTTTAAATCTCCTTTTTAACAGCCTATATTTAATTCTTGTAAAAGGGTTACGAAAATAATCAAACAACTTGCTCTCGAGTCAGTGTTAATTGTATTTCTGTTAATAATTGTTGCAAGAGATTGTTCGCGTTACCCGTTTCGCAAAGAGAAGCATATGCAGGAGCGATGATGACAACACGAATATACAAGTAGTTGGGAGCTTTTGTTATGTGCATTGCACTCGGAGCGCCATATGTATAATAATTATATATAATTTATCTAGCGATAGGATAATACTATCTGTAAAAAAAAATATTCTCTTGAGGGGATGCGCTTGCGTTACTTTGTGTTTACAATTTATGTCGAAGAGTAGTGCGTATCATCGCGTTCGCATACGTCTATACAATGTGTCTATATATATATATATATATATGTGTGTGTGTGTGTGTGTGTGTGTGTGTGTGTGTGTGCGCGCGCGCGCGCGCATACGACTTTACAAGTGTAATTTGTGTAATTTGTGGATACCATGCCGTTTCTCTATCATTTTTGTAACGCATTGCACGATTGAATAATAATATAATAAAAATAATTATTTAACATTAACAATATATTCATTTGAAATATAGTCATTTTGTTAATAAATAGAGCAACATATACATAACATTAACAATTGCTAAATATGTATACACGTATGAGATAGTAATGCGAAATGAAGAAAAGAAAGAAAGATGGCAAGAGAACGACGTTAGATTTTACATATACATACAGCAATTTCATATATATATATATATCTATATGTATAATAAATTATATACATATGTACATGAAATATTTCTTTCAACAACGATAGTCACGTTTAATTACAATTTCATTGGATTTTTTTTTTACAATAATATGGAAAGGGAAAAGATAAGAATGACTGAGAATTGGAAGTATTTGACGGAGACAGCCGAGATTTAGCGTGTTCGGAGCACGAAGAAAATACGGTGACACAACGCAGGTATAAGGTATGAGAACGATAAAAAAAGAAAGCGATCACTGCAAGATTAAAATTCTCTCGACATATGTGCAAACTCTATAACATTATATCAAGAAGTTTACGGAAATATTGCCTCTGGCTTCTGGTAGAGACATACGCAACAGCGTCGCGTATATGTAGCACCGAAAATTTAACAATTAACATAAGTTTCCTAACGATGTTTATGAGAGGAGGAACTTCTTTTAGCACCAATACATCTTCTATAACACAACGCTGTAAATTTTTTTTCAAAAATAAATACTTTTATATCTTGACCATTATTCTTGTGTGTGATTCGGTTGTGTGTGAGAATTATAGTTATATACAAATATACTTAAAAAAATATCTCTATTTCTGTTGCCGCGAACCTTGTCAACAATCTTGTCTATGTAAGATAGACCTGTCTACAGCTTCATGAAACATGAATTCTTTTTAAAACTTGCATTTGGACCGCACGAGTCTTTTAAATTGCGTGTGTTTTATAGGGACAAGATATATGTTTTAAATATCGATAGTCCCGAGAGTTCGTATTGATCATGTAATGAGTCAATATAATATTTATCGTTTCACGAAGCATTACATTCTCATACACACACAGTCGTTCGCATGCAATGAGACGCATTGCTCCTCTTTTCCTCCCTCTCCTTTCTTTCAATCTCTCCCTCTCTCCGTATCTTCCGCTTCACTCTATGATGATTCTCGGAAGCTGCGGATGGTATCGATTTTATGTTATACAATTGCACGAAAATGCTCTCGCAACGCTCAATGACATCTAGATACGCGACGCTAGTGAATATCTCGTGACATTCACATTTCAATTCGTGTCTGGATACAAGCTAAGAGATACGAAGTACATGTAAAGCAGAGAGAGAATAATGTTTATCGTTTTCATATTTTAAGAGAATGGGATTAATATATATGTACTTTGATAATTAACTTCCATACAGTTGCGGTTAAATATAAGTTTGTTTCCGATGATTGTAAATGCTTTTCATATATTTTAAGTACTTTAATTTTTCGCTATGTGACGCAAGAGACATTATTTTTGGTACAATGATTAAACTATATTCTCATACTTTTTCAGTCAACGATAAATCTCAAAATACATGAAGTTCTTACACGAGTATGAATAAGAACTATATATGGCAACGCTTAATCCTTATTCTTTGATTCACGACAATTTTAAAAATGAGCAATTGTTTATTTTACAATTACGTTACGTAGATACGATATCTGAAATTTCAAAAAATTCGTTTCGCATGCAATTAATTCGTATCCAGTTATGCATCAAGATAACGTAATTAGTTGATGAACCGATGATAAATGACGGATCAGTCGATGACGGTTTTGACCGTCTAAAGGTCTCCGCGTTTTTTTCATCGGTCATCACGAGAGACGAAGGGAGGGAGGGAAGGGAGAAAGGGAGCAGCGACCGAAAAGAGGAGAGGAAAAAGGGAAAGACAGGAGTATAGAGGGAGACATAGATCACAATTTGTCAGAACATGACACAAACGTAATGAGATCTCTGAACGTTAAAAAGGACTTTTCAACATCGTTGTAATTCGTGGAATTCATTGATTACAGGGTGAGGACGCGTGGCTTTGAGGATGACTTCTCGGATTAGCGTGAGACGCTTCGCGCTTCAGCCTCTGCTTAAGATGCACTTTTGCGTGGCGTTTCTTCTCATCGCTCCTGGCAAACTTTCGGCCGCACTGATCACAGCAGAATGGTTTCTCACCGGTATGCGTACGCACATGGGTGGTTAAATGGTCGCTCCTGGAAAAGGAGCGCATGCAGATGCGACACTGGAACGGTTTCTGTCCCGTATGAATGCGAATGTGCCGGGTGAGCTCGTCGCTGCGGGAGAATCTGCGATCGCAACCGTCCACTGGACAGGCGTATGGCCGCTCGTGCACCGGCGTTTTGCTCGGTCGATTCGGATACTTTCGCGGTTTTACGGGAACCAGTTGAAGCGGTAATGTACTCTGCTGATAAACTTGGGAAAGGATCTCGTGGCCTTTCGACGTGCTCGGATTATACTCGGCCAGCTGAACCCCTGTGCTGCCAGTATTAGATGACCGAGCTTGTTGTTGTTGTTGCTGCTGCTGCTGCTGCTGCTGCTGCTGTTGCTGAGGTTGCGTCTGAGGTGGTTGAGGCTGTTGTACGTTGGGAGTGTAACCGGATGTGCCGGTTGGCTCCTGTTTCAACGTTGCTTCCTGATGATGAGTATGCGAGTGATGGTGGGAGAGAAGACTAGGATCATAAGCCTCCTCGTGTGCCGTCAGCCAGGCCGCAGGAGTGGTAGTTGGCGTGTCATGGTAACCGGGTGGCGGGGGCGGTGGTTTCGATTCGACCTGCAGTAATTCGACGGTCTCACCGCTATACGCGGTCGAGTGAAGGTTGGGGTGAAGGAACGGTTGACCCGTCAAGGTTAAGGTTGGCGAGGGTAACGGCGCCCACAATTCCTGGCTCGCTGGCTGTTGTTGTTGCTGTTCGCCTTGAAGATTGTTTAGTGGCGAGGATTGTGTGCAAGTCGTGGTAAAGACGCCGCGATAGGTCAACGTTGGTACGTTGCAAATATTTACGCTCGTCGCGGGCACGGTAGATGTGGAATGCGGTGAGGAATACAAAATTACACCACCTTGCAACACGTTGCAACGATCCGTTTCGTCCTGGGTTTGATGGTGGCGCGACGGTGGACTGCTCGAGGAAGGCGCGTTTGATGTAACGGTATTTCGCGTATCCTGGTGATGATGATGATGATGGCGATGATCTCTGCCGGCGGATGCGCCGGCGTTTTCGTCCTCTTCCGCGGTCGCCTCTTCCAAGGAAAGATCCTCACCCGCCAAACTGCCTGTAAAATATCAATAAAATCATCTCATTTACTCTCAATTTCGGATATACGACGTGTGTATCGCGTATACACGCGTTTTACATATATGTATGTAACGAGCGTGTATTTTTTCTTCCAAGAGCCGACAGGAAGAACTGTGTGATACGGGGGTGACTTTATCTAACAACGGTTCTATCTGTTGTCTGCATCCTGCCGCGTTTTGTTACTTCCTTTCTCCGTATACAATTGTGCTAACTAGCGTTGAGAAAGTATTTACTAAGATCACAAAAAGCATTGCGTCTTCTTCATTGAAAATTTTATTGCCAAGTTTTCCATAGCATATATAATTGCGTTTGATATAACGCTCTGAGAAATAAAACAAATTATTGAAAAATTGCGTTTGCATTTTTAGTAAATATATAGATATTTCTATGACGAAAATAAAAAAAAAGCATGTAATACATACGTAGAAAAGATACCACCATATGCTAATTATCCGAGGGTTATTACGGTACTGAGGGTAACGAAGATGGGGAGGGGAGGCTAAAAGCATGAATGAACCGACCAAGGGATAGTAGTGGGAAGAGGAAGAGGGGTGGTGGTGCAGGTTCAAGAGGAGGGTCTCTGAATGTCGGGGTCGTTGAGTATTGATCCGCGACAGGCGGACAGACCTTCGATATTACGTATTTTCGCGGGCAGTGTAATAAACGTCAGTAACACCTCGTGATTCTTCGTCGCAGATGCATCTCCTTTAAGAGATCGTATTCGAGAGCGAATTTAGACGAATATATCTAAATTCCCGCGAATGATACAGATTTTAAAGATCAGGATATCAAGAAGCGCGAAGAGTTTGCGTAAACGTATAGAAAGCGAAAGGTTGACGAAAGCGAAATATAATATCGCGAAAATTTAACAGCATCGTACTTTCATCGTATACAATCTTATTAATGCTGAATTATGAGGAATGAGTTGAAACTCAACAACGCGCAACAGACATATGTCAATTGTGCATTGTTCTTTTTACATTAAGTTATTAATATGAGGAAATATAATTAATTAACATAATTAATAAAAATGAAAAATAAAGACAGTAAAAAAATGTATGTATTAAAAGATAAAGCGAGAGAAACAAAACTGTCGTCGAACAATTCTCGTCTTAAGAGATAGCTGATGTGTAGATACCTGAGATCGGTGGCGGTTCGACAAGTGCAGAAGGACCGAAGAAAGAGGGTAGGTCGCTGCTGGTGGTGACCGGTGTGTTTAGATCACCAGGCTTATCCTTATCGTTCGAATCGTGTATATCGCTCCTGCAGTTTCTGATACATCCCTTATCATCGTCATCGGCCTGTCGATGCCTCTTGCCATCTGTAACGTCGACAGATGGTGACGATGCATCGGTATGCAAGCGATGCTGGTGATCATCCAATCGATGATGATGATGATGCTGATGATGCCGATCATGATTATGTTCCGTGGAGTCGGTCGGACTGATTTGAAGCTGCGTATGTAACGGCACGCACGAAGATAAGGAAAGCGTCGGTATAGTCTTGCTGCAGCTGATGGACGAATTTGTGTAGGTCACGGGTGTCCCGCTGATGCCGCAGGTGACCGAGGAGTTGGACGAGGAGGCCGCATTGTACGGTAAACACGCGTCGAAACTAAGCTGCACCGTCTGCAGATTAAATGTTGCATGTTGATGATGATGATGATGACCAAGGGGTGGCGAGGAGAGCAAAAATGGGCTGGTGGCTGCGTGCGGTTGCGAGCCCACCACCTCCATGCCGTCCATCGTCATCCTCTGGAGCGAGTCGCCTTCCTGGACGATGGCAGAATCCTCGGTACCGCACTGCGTGTCCTCGCCTGCGGTTGTATCGTTCAACGTAATTATTATGGTTAGAATATTGTCGTTTTTCGATCACACTCTGATCATACAATTAAGTTTCCTCTCCTAGCTCCTCTCAATAGCGCGTGTGTTAGAGCCCGTGCGTACAACGCGTTAATGATCTTTCTATATATATATATATATAGATATATCGAAGAATCGTGTGTGTACGTCGCGCGATTCTGTCTCTCTCTCTCTCTCTCTCTCTCTCTCTCTCTCTTTTTTTCTCTTCTCGGCTAGTAGGATTAGTAGCAGCGATTAAGTGCGTGGCGTGTTTCTTGCTCGATCGCGTGGCGCGAGCCTTTGGTTAATTCAATAGAGCTGTTTGCGCGCCAGCTGATACAAGAAAGTATCTTCCTTCCCGCCTTTTTATTTCGATAGATGCCACCGGCCGGCTATATCGAAGAATCGTGTGTGTACGTCGCGCGATTCTGTCTCTTTCTCTCTCTCTCTCTCTCTCTTTTATTCTCTTCTCGGCTAGTAGGATTAGTAGCAGCGATTAAGTGCGTGGCGTGTTTCTTGCTCGATCGCGTGGCGCGAGCCTTTGGTTAATTCAATAGAGCTGTTTGCGCGCCAGCTGATACAAGAAAGTATCTTCCTTCCCGCCTTTTTATTTCGATAGATGCCACCGGCCGGCAACACTACGTGCGCGTGTTGCGGAATGGACCACCACCAACCAACCACTAATAATCACCATCACCATCACCATTACCACCACCGAGCGTTGTAAGAAGTTACGCGTGTATGACCGTCTCGCATACGCATAAGATTTCGCCAACCGGTCGATTCGATCAAGTACCTGGTACCGTCGTATCCTCGTCAACGAAAAGAAGATATAAACGACGTTCGGTCAATCGTCAACCGATATGCGTGCCTGTAATTGAAATTACTCTCCTCTTCTCACCTTTTCACAGTACAGACGCGTTGAAGAGCCGATGTAAATACGCGTGAATCGAAAAGCCAAGTAAAGTATTCGTGTGGCGAGAAGACGTGTTCGGCCACCGTCGCCGTCGCCGTCGGGTCCACGCTGCTCCGAATCTGTACGCGAGTGAGAGCAAATACAATGTATGATCCAAGAGCGTGTGCGTAGGCGCGCGAGCGAAAGCGCGCGCGCGCTGGACCGCGCGCGTTATGTTGCGTCGGCGACTCTCTCTCTCTCTCTCTCTCTCTCTCTCTCTATTTTCCCCTCTCTCACTCTTTTTCCTTCTCTCTGTATCTATCCATTTATCCGTCCTTCTTTCTTTTTCTATATATTCGCTTTTCTCTCTCTCTCTCTCTCTCTCTCTCTCTTTCTTTATAAACTCTCCTTCGTTAGGTGTACGTCCTGACTGAGAGTGTATTGGCTCGTGCACAGTGATTGTTAAAGGACGCGCAATGCGTGGGGGTCGCGCACGAACTGAGCCGAGCGGCGGCGCGCCCCGTAGTTTTATGAATGGACCGCCGAGACTGTCCCATATTTGGAAGCGCCGAGTCGACCGCCAGCCAATCCCCGCCCGGCGGTCTTCTGTCTACGCACGCGTGTGTGCGCCATACGTCTTCATACGTATGCGCGTGTATTTATACATGCCAACATATATATTGCATATATATATATATATATATATATATATATATATATATATATATGTGTGTGTGTGTGTGTTTGTGTGATGTGTATTTAGATATTATATTTTATCAAGAAATGTTTACACCATGGGGCAAATACATATCAGTTTCATTCTTACATACAAAGCGATACAAGTTTGGAATGCAATTCATATCGCCGCACCTGAGGGGAAACATTAAAGCGGTGCATTAAAGGGAGTGAGCGACCTCGCGGGAAGATTCCCGATTGACGCATGGTGTCCCTACGCATAGGCGTATTCAGCGTGCACGCAGACCGCAAATAAACCTGATATATGCGGAAATATGTACCGCCACCGAGCACCCCGTGGCTAATTTTAACCGGCGAAATTGTGTCTCATACCAGCCTGGCCGACCGATGTTGCTCCGCACCCGCCTCTCGCACACGGGTAAATAGATGCATCTTTCACAGCAAAATTTTATCTCACTATCTATATATATGTGTGTGTGTGTGTGTTTGTGTGATGTGTATTTAGATATTATATACATATATATTTAAGTACGCACATATATCTGGTATATATGCATATATATACATGCGCATCGTATATATACATGCATATATGTAGAATCTGAACGATCCACGATTCCCTGCTTCTCGCGCCGTCGTGGTTACCAGCTAGTGCTTACGAACATATCTATCCCCACCAACTGTCGCTCTTTGCTCGCTCTGCCACCTTCCCCTATCTCCCTCCGCGTACTAGCATCCCACCATGGGTGCTTCCTCCTCCTACCCTTCCCTCTTCCCTATCTTTCTCCTTCGTCGTTGAGACTCCTCTCAACCCCGTTCACCAGTGACGTAGAACTCTGTGACGTAGACTCGAGGCGCGCGACTGTTGTCCCCCCACGAGGTACTTTCGCGAACGCGCGAACACGCGACAGAAGATGGAGGAAAAGCCGCAAACTAGCATAAGAGCGGAAAAGAACGAAGGAGAGCTTAGGATTAATCTGATATGTTGGAGCTATTGCCACCGATGAATATATCCCCCCCCCCCCCCTTCTGCCCCATTCTGTCATAATTTTCTTTTTTTTATGATAAGAATATCCATTTAATTTTTTAACGAGAGAAATCGATATCATTCTATCTATGCTTTTTATTTTCGAATGTATGTTTGCAATGTTAGCTATGTGAATTAAAAGGAGCAAACTATTTATGAGAATGTTAATGTCGATCATTGATTATTTCTGTTATAATATTGGCTAGTAGTGCGTTATTAATAAGTCGTATGTGACAAATAAAAAAATATGGTACACACATATAAACGCTATATGAAATAAATTATTTCTTGATACTTTATGCGCGAATATGATTCGCGCATTATAGATAAAATTCTAGAGAAATATATTCACTTGTGACAGAATGCAAATATACGTCAATCATTATTACGTTATATCGTTAACTAAATCCGCTAAAAGGCGCGCGTATATTGTGTTATTATATCTATTACAATAAACGCATCAGAGAGAGTAAAGTTTTGTGTTTGGTCGATCGCGCATAAATACTATAGAGTTACATAGTAATCACTTACAAGATAAGCGCGACGCATATCCACATCGCGTAAGGAGAAAGTAATTTTATCCCGGAGACGGTATGCGTATGTACGTGGCTCCCTAACATATTTGTAACAGCGCGCGTGTCTGCCATACATGAGGCAGACCGCACTCTCTCAGGAGGGTAAGAGACGCGTGCCATTTGTGCGGACGCGTGCGTGCGCCCGGTTAGCAGTCACGTATATACGCGCACGCGCGTACGATCTTTTTCTCGCGGGCGTCTCGCAACCACCTGATGCCCTATTTGGCACCACGCGCTGCCACGCGCCCATTCCCCCTCTCCCTTCTCTCGCTCCGTCTTGCTCTCTTGGTATTTCGTCCCCTCTACCCTCTGCCTATCCTGTCTCTTATTTCTCTATCTCTCTCTGTCTCTATGTTAAATATACTTTTATTTTAATTTTTGAAATCCTTTTGTGTGTGCCGAGTATACTGTAATATAATTATCAAAATAAAAATAAGCCCCATCCGCGCCCGCATTTTCATTTCAATAATCGAAATCTAGCGTTAAACATGAAAAATTTAACGCGTGTCCTTTAATATATACGTAACAGAATTGTACGAGATCCTACAATCTTTAATGTATAATTAAAAGATGTATAATTATTTGATTTTTTTATTTTTTCACGTATATAGAAGATATTGAAAAATTGACAATGTAAGATGGTAAAAGATAAATTGTGCTCAACGAAATGTATCATTGATTTAAAAAATCAACTACATATTCCATTATACAATCTTCCTGAAAAACTTTTGAGAAATACGAATCTGTAGATTGATCTAATATATTATCATACTACGCATTAATCATTCGTTTTATTCGATCGACTTTATGTGAAACCGATGCACGTACACGAGAGAAAAGAGACAGTGACGCACGCCGACGACGTTGATCTGGCACAACAAAATGTTCTAAAATTATCAGTGGCTCTTGACGAGGTGGTGGGCGCGCACTATTCGTGGCCCTAATCGACGCGATTTTGCGCGGGCGAACGGCGTTATTTCAAGCCGCCACGCAACCACCTGAGCCACCCAGCATCCCCAAATACCCGGGATGACTAGTGCGGCGAGCGTCAAATATTTTCCTATGTTGCCGATGAGTCAGTTAACCGATGATACAAGATTTTTGGCAGCGTATCGTCATTGCCTTGCGTCGTCTTATATTCCTTGCTCTGATCATTATTTCGCTTTCTTTTCGGTGTACGCATACACAGGATATCACGCTTCTATCACGTTATTCTTGATAAGTTCTCTTCGACTAATCTGAAATAAAAAAAATCTTTTGTACCAAACTCTCGTACAGAAGACAGATAAGAACTGTTTACGATAATAAATCGAATTCATCGCAATTTAAAATTATGAGAATCTATCATGTTGGATTGATGCGTGGTATAAATTAAGATGTTTTCAAATAATGCTATATATAAAATGACGAAAGGCGATGTATACGAGATGCTCTGGCACGAAATTACGCATGATTCTGAATTCTTTTACAATGCTCTTTCGAAATTGAATAACGTATTGGTATGCGAGAAGAATTGAGAAATTAAGATAGAAAAAGATGAGAATTGTTTGGTAAAATCTATGTATTAGAATCAAAGAAAAATGCGCGTTTATTTATAATATCAATAATATAATAGTATCTTTGAATATTCAACATTATCTACTTTAGTCAGTAACATTTTACTTTAGAGTCTTTTTATACTTGTTTGTGTCTTTTAAAATAAACATGTAATACGGCTACACAGAGTTGTAGATTGCTATTTCTCTAGTAATTCTTCTATATTTCAAAGTGTACTATTTGAAA